TACTTCCGTAGTGATACTGCCTCAGAAACCCAAGGAAGGGTTGCTGTGGGTTGGATCCAACTGGACAGCAGTGAGTTTGGTTTGGTGGTTTGGTCTATACATTTAGATACATTTGTGTATTTAGGTCAGATGTAGTTAACCATTTTAGATGTTAAAGCGTGTGTCATATGAATTAATTTTTTTTTTAATCTCCATTGTATTGGTAAAATCTCATTCCAAATTATGTAATGTAACCGAAGTGAGTCCTCCTTAGTTCTCATGAATTAATGTGCAGTCCCCAGCTGAAGCAGTCTAGCTGGCTTTTCAAGCCCATGACTTCGATGTGTGGCTCAATAGGAAGCAACAGTGGGTTACACAACTTAATTTTAAGAAAATGTATCTTACACCCAAACCATAAAGAATCAGATAATGTGATCACATTAAAGGATCATTACATTCCTGATATTTCAAGCCTTTTCTCAGCAATATTTTTGTCAGACCAATCAAATAGAGCTCCTCTAGTAAGTTAGGTGCTTCCTCTGCCTCGGCCTCTCCAACCTGTTCCTTACCCTCTTAGGCAGCCCAGAGGCACCTCCAAGGCTCTATGGAACAGTCTATAACACATCAACTTGTACTATTGATGGAGATAATAGCAAAGCTTATACTAATACAATTACAAGTATACTTTGATTTGACAGTCTTTATATTCAAAAGGCACAGAGAAGTTAAAAAAGAACTACCTAAGCAATCTGCTAACAAAAAATTCTTGTTTTACCCTTACCCTGATATAAGCCTCTGAGAAACTAAAAGCTGGAAAAAGTGAAGGCATTTGAGTTAGGTGTAAAACAAAATGAAGCAAAAACAGTTGTAGGAGAGCCCTGCTTGTCTATAGAATTCAGATTTCTTCCAAAGGTAGGGAATGGCTTTCCTTTAAAATTTTCAAGCAGACTGGGACCTTTGCTCTGTCTTTGAAAAGCACCCAATTTTTAGAGAAATGTGGAAACAGCTTTTGACAGGTGTTTTGGGTTGTGTTTTGTTGAAAGATAATTAGAATGGAATTTTTTTAAACACCTTAAGTATTACCATGTGGAAGGGTCAAGAGTAGAAACTTTTTTGTTTGGTTTCTATTTAATGGAAAATAATTTAAGGGCTTTTCAGAAATTTTCCTTTACTTAAAAAAAAAAAAAAGCCTTTGTCCCATGACTAGTTTTGTACTTCATAACCCTGTTGACTTGCATAATTCACTAACATTGCTGAATGCTTTCTCAAAGCTGATGCTTCATTGCTGACTTGCTTAATGGATTTTATTTTCATTTTATGTAGGCACCTTTGTGTGTGTACTCTATATATGGATATAAAATATAAAATTTTTATACATAACCTAACGTTAGCCATTTAGTATCACACATTGATTTGTGTGAATGTTGCCTCTGGAGCACTCAGCTTCTTTTATGGCATTATGGGAAGTATTCCCAGGGAAGAGATCATTTCCCATCAAGTTTCATATCAGTTGCCAATACGATTAGATTTTTTTACAAGTGATAATGTGATTACTTTTTCATTATAAATACAGGTTTTTAATTTTTTGACACTTCAGTTCTGTTAGTTAAACTATAAATTAAGCTAGTTAGTAATTCCATGCTATTATGTGATTGTTAAACCACAGGTCAAGTCCTGATCCCTAAAGTATCCTGGCTTTCACAGTAGAAGTCTGCTTCATTTTCCCACACTTCTAAGGTCTTTGTTTAACATTTGTTCCCCCTAAACACTTTAAATAAATTTAGTGTATTATTGCCCTTCTTCCCTATAAAGCATTAAGAAAATTGATAAAATATTTAAGCATATTTTTTAATTCATTGGATGTGAAGCATTGTTTCACACGTTTTCATTTGTTAGCTCTGGTGGCGTAGTTTCTAAGGCATTTGACTGCTAACCAGAAGGCTCACGGTTCAAAGCCACTAGCCACTCCTCAGAAGGAAGGTTGAGCAGTGTACTTCCATAGAGATACTGCCTTGGAAACCCAAGGAGGAGTCGCTGTAAGTCATGACTCAACCAGTAAGTGAGTTAGTCATATGTAGTACTCAAGTAATTTTACCTTCAAAGGAAAAATACTACCGTGGGCATGAAATTATTGCTGAGATATGATTTAACAAACATGTGGAGAGCATAGAATAATTCTCTCAGACCCGTTGAGCTGCTTTTTCATTTGAAAGAATTTTAAGACTCACCAGCATTTTTGCCTTTTGAAACACCTTTCATCATTCTGTATTTCTAAAATAGAAAACAATTAGAAGTGCTCCTTGCTATTTACTTTATTTGTTCTTAGAAACCACACCAAGATGTACATTGTTTATTCTCTCATATGTTATCATTATAATATACATTCTTTACCAAGGAATTAGTGTCAGATGACAGTTCTGAATAATAGTATATTACCAAAGAAAGGATGTAACTTTAAAACTCCATGTTGTTGTTGTTATTGCCATTGACTCGGACCTGACTCACAGCAACATCTCCTTGGGTTGCCGAGGCAGTATCACTACGAAAGTAGATTGCCCAACCTTCCTTCTAAAGGAGTGGCTGGTGGGTTTGAACTGCCAGCCTTCTGGTTAGCAGTCAAGTGCCTTAGGTACTATGCTACTAGAGCTCCTTTAAAACTCCATAGACAATTTAAATACAAAAATTAAGTCCAAGTTCAATTAGAGATCATCTTCATGTGATAGATAGACTAGGAAGTTGAGACCCAGAGCAGTAAGTAGACATTCTATACTTTGACTTTTAGACTTACTGGGCATAAGAAAAAATTACCAAAGCAGTATGTTACTGCTTTTCATCTGCTTGTTTTGGCTAATAAAGTTTTTGTTGTAAATTGAATTCTCTGAGCTATTCTCTTCAAGTCACTTAGCTGATTTTTTTATGGTGATTTTTTTTTTTTCCCAAGAATAGTTTCAACTTCTTTTTCTTATTGAAATATAGAGTTTATATTAATAAGGAAAAAGGATATGATCACAAACAATTTATTTTGTATGTTTTTATTTTAGGAAAATCCTGAATTTGATTTACATTTTGAAAAAATATATAAATGGGTTGCCAGCAGCACTGCTGAGAAGAATGCATTTATTTCATGCATCTGGAAACTGAATCAACGATATCTCCGGAAGAAAATTGATTTTGTCAATGTTAGTTCACAGCTCTTGGAAGGTAAAGTTAAGTGAAAATATATATGTGAATCAAGTGTATCTTTAAACAAATCTGTAGTTTGATATCATTTAATTAAATTAAAATACTGAGTTACCTTTTATCATAAGGAATTTAAAAATAACTTCTTATTGCAGAGGTGATACTTGTTCATTGTAGAAAATTGATTAAGTTAAATAAAAATTACTTATACATATATTCCCAAGAGATGACTACTGTTAACATTTTATTAGATATTCTTTTATTCTTTTTTATGCATAAGTACCTTTTAAAATAAAAAAAATTACATTCTGTTTTCTACCATATTTTTTCCATATAATTTATCTTGGACATTTCTCATGTTATTAAATACTTACCCAACATTCTTTTCATGGCATCATAGTATTCCATTGTATGAATGTACCATAATTTACTGAACTAATCATTTATTTTTAATTTTCCAACTTTTGTTTATTTCAAGCACCTTTAGGATGAATATCCTTATAGCTACATTTTGGTGCAGAGTGTAGGTGTGGTTGAGAACACAACTCTATAGTCAGACTGCCTGGATTCAAATCCTGGGTTTGCCATTTACTACCTGTGTAACTTTTGGTTAGTGATTTCCTGTCTCTGTGTGTCATGTACCCTTATCTCAGAAATAGAAATGGTAATAGTATTTACCTCATAAGGTTGTTGTGAGGGTTAGATCACTTCATACATAAAAGCATTAAAAACAGTGCCAGGTATATAATAAGCACTCAATAAATATTAACTATTATTATTAAACTGTCAGGATGAAATCCTTGAGCCTGAAGTTAATTAGAATATTTTAATCAGTATATCTTCAGGAATGTTACTCATTATGAGTTATTTGTTGTTGTAGAAAAAATACACTACTGTTATTATTGAAAATGTATGAGGAAGTATTTAAAATTTCTTTGCATAAAGACATACACATTATAATAGTTCCATATGCTTTATGAATGCAGGTTTGTATTGTTTTCTCAAAGAAAGCTGTTGAAATAAAAGCTAGTATACAGTAAACAGAAAGCTTATAAAAGTTGTTGCTTCTCATTATTGAGAAAGAAAACTTAGAAATATCCCAAATTATGTATTATAAGGAAAACTTATATTGTCCTAAGTTGTATATTAGAATTTAAAATTAGAAGATTTCTGTTAGTTTGAACATCTGAAATTGCCAATATTCTACCACTTGACTTACAGAACTGGCAGGTTCACTTAGTTCAAGCTGTTTATTCATTTAGTCACATGCCTCTATCCCTTCTCTATTATTTTTTACTCATTTCTTTTCTGCTTGGCCATACACCTTTCTCTCCTTCAATGTTGTATTCGTTCACAATGCTTATCACAGTAAAATCTGCAAAAGGCAGAACCTGTGTAAGAGGGAAACCTGTCAGAGAAGGAAAAGACAAATATTTTTCACCATTAGAGAGTAATAGAAAAGTGTTAAGACTGCATCCTATCAAAGGTGAAAAACTTGTGAGACTTGCAGAAACAAGGCAGTCCTGTCAAATTGCGGCTCTCACAGGTTTCATAGTAATTAGTGATCTGTTCTGGTTTAGGGCTTGGTACTTGAAACTGGCAGAGGCAAACCACATTTGTCAGCCATGTGTTGCCCACACAATGGGACTGATCTTGTGTTGGAGCCCCCAAGGTTGGCATCTCATCATTAGTTCCCAGTGTCTTGGCAGTGGTGTTGAAGAAAAGACCTTTAAGAAAATTATGGTGGTTTTTCATGCTTTGAATAATGGTTTAATTTGTTAAGTAGCTTTTAGTATATTTCCATTTCAGCGTTGAACATTGTAATAAGTGACTGATTCACACACTTGCTGTTTTATTTTCGAATATATTTTTCCAGGTGTATTTTAAACCAATATATTTCATTAGGTATCGGAAAATACATACCCTTCTTGAGTTCACTTCATTAAGAAATGCACCCACTCCTGTTTACTGACATGGTTAAGTTCCAAAGACCAGATTGTTACGAGAAAATTAGCGTTATATGAAAATGGAGGGTTTTTTTTTCTATTTTCCATTTGTCTGATTTTTTCTATGTAGAAAATATAGTCATAGAAATAATAATAGCTAAAATTTACTGATGTGTTCATCACACCAGTAACGAGTCCTTTTATGGATTATTCCTCTGTGGAAAAGGAGGCTTGGGGAAGACAAAGCAGCATAAATCTGGCCTTCACCGTCCCCCTGTGCTGGGTCAGAGCTTCCCGCACAGAGCCACCTCCAGGGTGCCACTCCCACCCCTGTAAGTCCTACCTTCACCATCCCAGAGCCTGCTCTGCTATCCAGGCCTGGCAAGTCATCAAGGCTCAGGGCTTCCTTCGAGGGCACTGGGAGCCTGGCCATACACCTGGCCCCACAGAGACAGAGACTTCAGGCCCACTTGGGTTCACCTTGGGATGTCATTAAACTTGCACATATTTCTTCCAAATCCCCTCCCCAGTGCCTTTTTCTTCTCATGCCACCCATGGCAGTTTTAAGGTACAAGGCCTCAGGCCACATAGGAGCTAGGAACCCAGAGCCTGTTGGCTCTGTGCTGCCTCTGCCTCGGCCTTGGCCTTGTGGCTGTGAAGGAAGCCAGCTTGCTTGGCTGGGCAGGTGGTCGCTGCGTTCCCACCAGCAGGAGGGCACAGAGGACATAGCACAGCCTAGCTTCCCAAGAGGCTGCTCGGAGACCCTCCTTGAAGGAGGGGGTGCTCCTCACCCATTGCCACTGTGCTCACCTCCTTGTTAATGTGCAAAATAACCAGTTAGTAGAGTTTTTATTATCGTAAATGTGAAATGTTGGCTAATGAGATAGTCAATAATTGAGGAGTAGGTCTGTTACCAAAATCAATGAAAAGATAATTGCTGTTTTGAGAATGACGTGTCCAGCTTTAAAAAAAAAAAAAAAAAGTATATGTGAACTCTTGTATGGAAAGTGAATTTGCTCTGTAAATCTTCACCCAAATCAAAAAAAAAAAAAAAAAAAAAGTCTAATTTTTCAGGGCTTAAAACAAAAATATAGACATTTTCATGTTTATAAACATTAACCCTAATTGAGATCAATTTTAAGAATACCAAGAAGATTCTTAAGGTTCACACTTTGAAAATCATTTCTGTAGGTCAATAATCATTGGTTTGCTTTAGTGGCATTCAGGGAATAACTTTATTAATGGTTTTAAATTTGTTTTAATGGACCTTGAAATTATGGCAGTTAATTCCCATTTAAAAAAAGTAAATTTATCTATAAGCTTTGCATAGTGTTAGAAAACAACAAATTATTACCACCTCCCTTAAAGAGATAATTAATTATCTAAATAAATAAGACTTTTCTACATTGTAAATATTAGCAGTAGCAACATTGGTAGTTTTTATTGGTAGCAATTGAAAGTTAATGCTAGGTATCTGGGGCTTCACTTTTTTAAGAGAACTTTGTTAGCAGTTGTAGTAGAGTGAAGTTTTTGTTCAGCTTGCTTTATTTTACTTGCAGCCAGATTTTAAAAACAGTCTTTGACTTGAATACTTAAAAGCTAGCCTGAACTGTATCTCATGTGCTTTTTTAATTGTCTCACTCTTCTCCTTTCTAACAGTGTGTTGTAACTAATCCATTGTCAGGGCGTGTCTGGGTAAAGCTTTTGGCTTTGACTTAACTAGACTAAATGCATGAGGCACAACTTGACTTAAAAAGATTTTCCAGGAAATCATCTGGTTCCCACTTCTCCAAGGATAACCT